TCTAGAACGCATTACGTGTTACCAGCGTCACGTGACTTCCGCTGTCGTAACAATATAAAAAAAATCGTGATTATTAAAAGATTATCCTTTTATTGGTATTTGTGTGATGCTTTAGTTGAACTTAATTTAGTTCGTTCCATACTCTAAAAAAGTTATTATTTAGTGAATGAAAATAATGCGACTATTGCCAAATAAACTACTGTGCAAGTAATTAGAGCGAGTCAAGACAAAATATTTTTTAATCCCTGCGACTATAGTAATTCTAATGGATTTTTATATATGGTCCTTTATTTTTACAGTAAGTCACTTTTGATAATATATCTATCTGTTTATATTAATATACAAATATTATGAAACATACTGTTACAAGTGGTCACTCCAAAAGGCCAATTTACCATCAACTTAATAAACAAGGAGTAGATTTGATTGTGTGAATGTTTTGAATAGCTAAATGAAAATTTCACATGAAAAAGATATATATTTCACTTTCAGATAAGTATTTGCGACGTGCTTTGTTAAATAAATGTGAAATTGACTATTTAAGTTGCAGTTATTTCTTTTAATATCAACTGTAATGAAAAAAGGAACACTTCTTGATTTTGATACCAATGTCAACTATTTTTAGTAATATATCATATCTTTTAAGTGTCACATTGTGATGCATGAATGTCATGCGTTTCTAACTCTTTGTGCTCCCCAGTGTCACAGCGGTACATCTGCGGACTTGCAACGCCAGAAACCGGGTTTCGATACCCGTGGTGGGCAGAGCACAGATAGCCAATTGTGTGTAGCTTTGTGCTTAACTTTAAACAACAACAACAACTCTTTGTAATATTATAGTATTTATTCTGAATTTATCATATATTCTATTATGTGCATTTTCCACACAACATGTGGTCGAGAGAGTAGTTACGTCGACTTCATTCTAGCTGCTTTTATTCCTTTGTTGTTCTGAAGTAGATAGTACCTGTTCTGCCCAGAAATGTTATACCATACATTGTGAAAGGATATAGTGTCCTTCAATGGTCGTTCAATTGATATTTAGAGGTTATAGCCTCACCTATATTTGAATGGAAATGATCAGTCACGTGGTTAACATTAGTTGCTCTGGGAGAATGTGACGTTTCTTGCCAACCACAAAATGCTTGACATAGACATTCTGGCGCAGGATCTTGAAGGAGAAACAGCTTAAATAGAGAATCCAGTAAAAGTAACAGTTCTTTGTTCCATAAAAGCAAGAAAATACTCTGTGTTTGTGTTTCAGGTTTGTTGTAATAAAGATTGCACATTTCTTATTATTTCACTTTGTGTGCAGACTCGTTATTCTATTTAAAATCATGACTTCATTATTCAGAGATTTAGCATTACTCCTGTTATTAAGTAAACCCACTGCCCAAAGCTTAACTCAGTTTTGCTTGAATATTCCACAATGTCAGTGAAAACCAAACATTATATAGCTATTATTAAATATCATAAATTATTCTTTTCTATAACACAGTATGTTAATTTATCTATATTCATCATTTTTTTCAGTGTTTTAATTCAAGTTTTAGACAAACAGGATGTGAAAGATCAACTCGCTAATCATACTCATGCCACGTTTGCCAAATTAGCTAATATGCTGGAGCTATGGATTTGAAGGTCAATCATTTACGGTCTGCTATCACAAAAAATGTACCCCAAACGTTAAGACTTTGGGTACACTGTAAGAGTGATGGTCAAATCCCAATATTCAGTTAGACAAGTATAGTCAAAGAGTTCGATAC